TGCGCACGATTCGGTCATGGTACTCCCACCCTCCCCTCCTTCGCGCTACCTCGTGCCTCCCCCTACCTCCTGCCGACGTGGCCCTTCCCCGCACCCGCCCGATAGCATTCACACTGCCACCCCGTTGCCGCCCGAAACCGCTTTCCCGCCAACCGACACCCCCCTCTTGCGATGCCGCCCGTGGCAGTTACCGGCAGGCCTCCCCTCGACCCGCCCTTTTTCGCGAACCGCCACAGTCAATTTCCGCGCGCTGTGCTCTGCCACCCCGCTACCACGCTACCCCGGGCCTCCGCAAACCGCCACGGCACAAAAAAGTGTGGAGGCCTCTCTTCCGCTCACCCTTTTCCCCTTACCCTGGGCCTGCGCGAACCGTCGCGGCGCAATAAAGTGCGCGGGCCTCTCCTCCGCCCGCCCTTTTCCCCTTACTCAGGGCCTCTGCGAACCGCCACAAACTGCCATTCCCACCCTCCGCCCGCATTTTCGGTGGCCTGCGCACGCTTCCGTCCTCCTGGTACCGCACCCCTCCACTACCACGCCGTTTGGAACCCTCCACCTCCGCGCCGGTTTCTGCTGGGCCCGATGGGGGCGTCACGCTGGGCCTTTTCCTTGCTTTAAGGGTATAGAGAAATTGTGGTAAGAAGGGACAGGTTGAACCTTGATCTAAGATGATCGGTTCAGTCATATGTTACCTTAAAAAATAAAGTGCAGACAAATATATATAACTTGGATACTTAAATGGTCCAGGGCGACTAGGTTGGCTAACCTAATCATGTGCCCGAAGAAGAGAAAAGTTATAGTGCCCTGTGTTTGTGTATATTTTATGGCTAAGCTAGACAGGTTCCCATAAGATTGGGTGGTCTAGTTGTAAGCCTTAAGTAAGTTGGGTATAAGAGACAAATCAATGAGAGACTACGAACTATTGTTTGGCCAGGTTGACTTGGGGTTGGTGAGAGTACATACCTTAGTGGTTTAGCCTGCATGTGGCTGAGTGAGATTACTACTTAGTTTGAGTTTCAGTTGATAGGTAGTTGCTTTAGTTGCTTCTCGGATTACTACTTACCTATTTTCGCGGTCAAGGACTGCAGTTCAGAGCTACTATTAGGGCGTACGTATCCGAGCCACGTTCATGCGGTTATGATAGAGCGGACGAAAGCCAGATGCTTTCTATTAAGCGTCCAGATGGTGGTCGGATTATGATGGAGACGGTCGAGCCTCGTGATCCGAGGAATAGAGCGGCTTTAGCGGCTGGTGGCACACGCAAGCCAGCCACCCTCGCAAGTCGCTCGCTGCGATTCCGTGAGAAGAAGTATGAGATATCTCTCACAGAGGCAGAAGGGCGCATACTGGAAATCGAGGACTTAGGGGATCGCGTCCTCGTGGGAGGAAATTCCTATCCGAAGGCTGAAGATGAGGAGTTCGGAGGGATGATCTCGGTGTCTTTTTTAAGGGTGCAGCCCCCTAGGGGGGCGACCAAAGAGGCACAAGACAGTAGCTCAGAAGGTAAAGTCGGCGGCAGTAGCTCGAGAGCGATCAGCACTAGACGGGATATTTGAAGAAAAGATTGCCCAAGAGATTAAAGAAAGGAAGAAGAGGGAGCTGCAACGGCTAACGGAAGAGAGGATAGCGGAGATGGACATAGGAGATGGAAATTTAACAGAACAAGAGAAGGAGCGCGTACTGGAGGTTCTTAAGACTTGTGATAAGGCCATAGCCTTTAGCGACGCAGAAAGAGGAAGGATCGATCCTAGGTACACCAAACCTGCCAGGATCTATACGATACCGCACACTCCATGGAATGACGCAGGGTGGAAGTTTGCTCAGAAGGAGAAGGAAGAAGTAATTGTCTTTCTAAAAGAGAAGATGGTGTCACATGTGGCAGAACCATCTGATAGCGCTTACGCGAACAGATGGTTCTTTTTACGGAAACCTAATGGGAAAATCCGTTGGATTCAGGATCTTCAAAAGGTGAATGCGGTCACTATCCGGGATGTCGGGTCCATACCGCATGTGGATCTATTAGCGGGGGGGGCTGCAGGTAGATCTATCTACTCCGTCTGCGATCTATTCTCAGGTTATGATGAGATACCTCTAGACCCTAGAGATAGACACCTTACTGCCATTCATACGCCTCTCGGACTAGTGCAGATGATGGTTGTGCCGATGGGCTGGACCAATGGGGTTGTTGTCTTTCAGAGAGCTATGGTAGTTGTTCTGAAAGACTTCATTCCTGATAAAGTTGAAGTCTTTTTAGACGACTTCCGATTAAAAGGGCCAGTACTGAAAGATGAGACGGAGGTTGCTCCTGGTGTCAGGAGATTCGTGGAGCAGCACTTGACAGATATCTACGCGGTCCTGGAACAGCTAGATGATGCTAATCTAACGGTCAGTGGAACGAAGAGCCGGTGGGCAGTCTCGTCGATTAAGATTTTAGGGTACATATGCGATTCGAGAGGACGACGAGCAGATCCAGCGAAACTGGAAAAACTCTTGAACTGGCCAACTCTATTGCATAGCACTACTGAAGTCCGCCAATTCCTCGGAGTTATAGGTTACTTGCGGATTTTCATACGTGGGTACGCGGAGAAGGCAGAGACTCTGCGATCTCTCCTTAGGAAAACTGAGTGGTTTTACTGGGATTCTCCTCAGGAGCTCGCGGTATTAACTTTCAAGGAAGAGTTAAGAGCGGGGACGAATCCTGGGTATATCGTTCTTCGAGGACAAAACCAACAGACCCTTCATAGTGTCTACGGATGTTTGGCCATGTTCAGTCGGAGGATTACTTTCTCAGAAGGACGCTGACGGAAAGGAGAGGCCATTGAGATTCGAAAGTCATACGCTCAACACCGCTGAACGCAACTATAGTTAGTTCAAGAAGGAGGTGTTAGTTATCGTACGGTGTTTATACGCCTTTAGGCACTACATATAGGGGAGACGATTCTTCTTACGTGTAGATCCTACCGTTGTGGCGTCAGCTTTGCAGAAGGACTTCAGTCTGACCGACCCCACTATCGCGCGATGGTTGATCAGGATTCGACTCTACGACTATACTGTAGAAAGGATCTCGGGCACGAAAAATGCGGTAGTCGATGGACTCTCACGAATTCCAATTGAGGCGGAGCGCCCGATAGTTGTTGCAGCACTGACCATGACTGAGCCTAGACGAACAGATCGCTTCCTAGTCAACCTTTATGAAGGTAAGTATCGGATGATCGGGCTGCATCTGTCGGGAGAAGAGAGTGCATATTTAGAGATCAGGAGACAGGCGGGTCAGTATTGCCTTAGATCTGGACATTTATTTCGCAGACCCACAGGGTCAGGGATGCCTCTGCGAGTGGTCTGTGATCCCGAGGAGAAGCAGGCGATAGTAGCGGAACTTCACGACGGCGTAGTTGGTGGGCATAAAGGAGTAAAAGGGACATATGAGAAGGTTCACAGGCTATACTGGTGGGAAGGTCAATACAAAGACGTTGAAAAGTACTGTGTGACTTGTGAAGAGAGTCAGAAGAGATCTCCTGTAAGGTACAAAGAGCCGCATCCTTCCTATCCGACTAGACCAGGTGAGAAGGTACATATAGACCTAGTGAAGATGCCGAAGGGGGTAGGGAACATGAACTATGGCGTGAACATCAGAGATGACTTCGTTGGATTTGCGGACGGAAAGCCTATCAGAACAAAGGCAGCCAGCGAGGTAAAAAACTTTGTTCATGAATATCTGTCTAGATACGGGTGCGTCAGTAGGATTGTGATGGACAGAGGAGTGGAGTTCCTAGCGGATGAGGTCCAAAATGTCTTCAAGAAAGCGGGGGCTAGAGTATCGATAGCCACTGCCTACCGCCCTCAATCTAACGCACCTGTGGAGCGCGACCATCAGTCCTTGATAGCTTCGTTGTCCAAGTGGTGTAAAGGTAAGGATAACGACTGGTCGAAATACTTTCGATATGCAATATGGGCCGATAACGTCACGGTCCGGGCTAGCACGGGATATCTGCCTTACACCCTATGGTTTGGAAGGCACTGCCCTCTACCTATGAGTTTCATGTTGATAGCTGACTACAGTTACCTGGGCGGACAGTATGACGCGAGAGGAGCTGTTGGCGGCCCGAACGAGACAGATAGCATACGGATTAGAGGACAATCTCATGATCGCGGCCAATCGATTGGTGATAGCAAGAGAGAAAAGCAAGGAAAGATGGGATAAGGATGTCAGGATTAAAAAGGACAAGATAATTGTGGGTGATATGGTACTTCTCTACGATGCAGCATTAGAAAGGACATGGTCGGGAAAGTTGGCGAACAGATGGATGGGACCCTACCGCGTAGTCGACGCGCTTAGCTGGGGAGCATATATGACTGCTGAATTGGACGGGTCTAAGTGGAAGGATCCTGTGGCCGGGGCTAGACTGAAGTTGTTTAGGCAAAGGAGAACCCCCACTCCTGTGCTGACGCTATTCGACCCTAAGCAGAAGGGGAAAGTCAAGGTGACAGATGAGGGACCGTCGAGCCGGTACGAGGTAGGTGAAAGTTCGAAGAAGAGAAAGAGAGTAGAGGCCAGAAAAGTAAAGGGCTTGACGCTGGGAAAGAAAAGGAAATGGTTTTTTGTGCTACGGAGACCTAAGCGCAGAGTTCGTGTTAGACGAGGTGGGGCATTTGCGGCGCTGCGACTTCAACGAAGAAAGAAACAAAAGAACATCCCTATATCTAAATCCAAGCAACCGTGACGTAAGCAAGAAAAGAAACACCCTCTCAGTCCCAGAGTTCCTGAAAAACCCAAGCACCGGACACAGAAGCGCAGACATAAGAGTCGCGCGCGTGTAGTCAGTCTAAATCTTATACGATTCGTCTGACTGAGGCGGCGCAGGCTCGACGGGGGCGCCGAGAAGAGGTCCGGGCTTGTTTGTCGGGCGGCCGAAGGTCAGTTGGCCACCCAAAATTCGACGGATTGGCCCTTGGATTAAGTGCCTAGAGAGGGATCGACTGGGACTTTCATCAGAGCTATCGGGAAAAATTAGGGGTCGGAGAAAAATCCCTAAAATTCCCCCCATCAACTATTAAAACTGACCCTTGGGGTCGACACAATGAACAGCTACGCCTACCGCGTCTAGGGCCTACCACTTTTCGTTCGATCCAAGGTTGTTCGCGATGTGACCGGCCGCGGAGTCGGGTTGTGGTCCTAGGGATCGGCGAACCCCTTTTACATTGGGCCATGGGTGAGGGAGTGAACCCCCAAATGTTTATTAATTTTAACGACCAAATTAGAATTCGAGGAAAAGGGTTAAAAATAATAAAAGAAAAGAAAATAAATGAATATTCTTTAATTTGCTAAACTTTAACAGAATTAGTCCTTGATGAATTTCTCCGCAATTTTCATTTGATTCGAGTGTCGGGATTAGAAATGAGGAAGATCGGTAAACGGCACCAGGGCAACAAATGGAGCTCAATGGTTGCTCTAGGGACACAAGCAGAATCTGACAGCCCACAAGCTGAGAGGAGCAACGAGGGGCAGAAGAGGTTCACAAAAGCCACACAAAAGCTTAGCTGCAACAGGCTAACTTAGGCAGCGGTGAGGGGTGGTACATCCTTCCCGAGGGAAGTAATCAATGTCGCCCGCTCGGGCCTCTCAACCTTAATGGGGAGGAGCGTGGGGGTGAGTTATCTGTGTACTATCTATTGACTTGCCGGGGGAATAGGAACCGGACTATTGCTCCCCAGAATGGCAGGAGCCAGAACCAAGAGGTTCTGATTTCGGCAAAAAAAAAAAAGAAAAAAAAAAAAAGAGGAAATAATTAAAATGATAAAAGGAGAGGAAACTGACGATTATTTTATTATTAGAATCAAATCTATGGAAATCTTTTGCGAGGAAGATGAGAAATAGCGAACTTCAGCAATCAAACAGCATCATATACACAAGACAAGATAGTCGTGACCTCGAACCAACAACAGAATTGCATCACGAGTTTCACTCAATAAGAAGACACCAAGAGCTCATAATTGACAATGTTGGTAAAGTCTCATCATCATCATCAATGAAGAACCAATGTTGATATCCTATCTGGTGCTCGGCGCCCAGACTACAAATGGCAGATCCTATCTAACCTAGTCTACAATGCCGAATGATGACGACAACAACTTTCCCGAAGTACACAGCGACCAATGTTGCACGCTTCCAGCACCAGGTATGTCTCTCGCCTCACTCACAACCTCGTTCCCCAGCACACAGATGCCACTAGCACCCAAGGACCACCCTGCGCCACACCCAGCTTACAGCAGCGCAGCTTGGCTATGGCTGCTTGCTCCTTCCTGCTCGCCCGTGAGCGCGTGAGCGCTGGTCAGCAAATAGCACAGCAGCGCTTGCGCAACATGCAGGCAGCACCCGAATGCCAAATGCGGAGGCAGGCCCTTTGCTATATCGAAGTGGCTTGCCTGCGTTCAGTCCCAGGAAGCTTCCAGTAGGCCCCGGTAGCCTGAGGCCCAGCACGAACGAGAACAGGCCTTGGGCTTGAGGTGGTTGCATGTACCCAACTGCCTTTGCCCTGTGTTTGTCCCAGTACCCGTATCCAGCTTAGGGCCTGCTTTCCATACATTCACCCAGGCGGCCCACGGCCTGGGTTCTCTCAACCAACTGGCGCTGCGCAACTGCCTGAATTTCCTGGAGTTGCGTGGTGACCGAAATAGGGGCCCTCAGGCCCTCGTCGTGCCTGCCTTCACTTAGGGCGGCCGACGTGATACTTGGCAGGGCCAAAAAGGGGCTCATTGGGGCATAAGCCTCGCACTTTATCTAATGGATTTTTGTCAAATTCTTCCATTTATTCCCTTTCATTGGTTGAATCAAATTCTTGTTGATTTTCCTATCTTTCGCCGATTTTTCTTGATTTTTCGGATTTTCTGGATTTTCCTGATTCACCCGATATTCTTGACTATTACCCTCCCTATGGACAATGGTGTCTTTGGGGGAGTGAGGTTCTATCCCCTTGTTCCGCAAATTTTGGTGACGGCGAATGGAACCGCGACTGGTTTTGTTTTTTGGGTTATGGCGACGAGGTCGATATGGCGTGATTTCTGGTCCTGAACTGGTATGGAACTGTCATTGGGGCGGCATCGGTATGGCCGCTAGTTCAGATTGGCATAACTATTGGTTCGGCATCGGCATGGTACAGGCCTACTGCAGTTCCGGTATTGGTTCGGCACTGGTGTGATAACCGTACGGGCCACCACAATTCGATGTCAGATTCGGGATTCTTGGCTCTGGTACAGACACTGGTCCGGCATTGGTATGACGCGCAGTGGCCCGGTGCTAATATTTTGGTACGGTATCAGGTCTGGTATGGATTCACTTTGATACTGTTTGACCTGACGACAGCCTGGGATGCTGATTCGATGTCGGTATGGTCTCTAACCCGGTAATAGTCTGGTACATTGCTGCGTCGGCACACCTTCTGTTTGGTTCAGTATTCGATCCCGCTGGGAACCCCTGCGGCTACTCGAGATGATGACGTTATCTTGATGTGGCCATGACATCGCGGCAATCACTAGTTTTTATACAGCGACCACATAGGTTGGGTATTACTATTCCTCGGTACAACATTGGTACCTGGCGCCATAATATCGGTCTCCAGTTCAGGTGCGGCGGCTGGCTCGGCGCAGGCCCCGTTTTTCGCAGTTCGGTATGTTTATTTCAGGTATGGGCACTGCTCTCGTACGGGGTAACTGTGCAGACTGTGGGTTTTCCTATTCTAGTACGGTTTCTGGCTCGGAAATGGTACGGGCTGGTGACTAAGGATTGGGTGGACCCGATAGACGCGGATATTCCATAGTGCAGAGGCATGACTCAATGGTCGGGGGCAGTTCCTTCTACTGCAGGGAACTCCTGTATTGATCCTGCGGGGCCTAAATTTGGGCCCGAACCTGTCCTACTAGGATAAACCTGCGGTACTGTCGTGGCCACTTGTGTTCCTCCGACTGGTACCATTGCTATCACGGGCTGGGGTTTAGGCCTGTGACCAGGGCGGCCGCCCGCATATAGGGCCAACCAGCGAAACAGGAGGGGGGATTCGAATGGTGAGAGACTCAGCGCGTTGTCGCACTTTTTCCAGTCGGACCACTTCAGGCGACCGGAAAGCCAACAGGCTGTCACGCAGGATTTTGTCTGTAATTGCAGTAAATAAAATAAATTAAATAATGCAAATCCCTTCCTGTTGTGTGCGTCCGGCTTCGAGCGAGACCCTTCAATTGCGGTATTCGCCGGTCCCCGGTCTTAGGAATCTTTTATTTTGAATCGGAACAGCAGAGAATTATGCAAATAATAACCATAAAATCATGGGGTGCTATGTATGAATCAATTATGTCAATCTGATTTTGAGAACTGTGACAGAATCATACACGATAACAATCATCAGGTAAGAACAAAGCAAGAAGCAAGACCGAGTGACTCGAGCAGAGGTAAGATTAAATGAATGAAGGATGAGTGAGAACTCATAATAATCTCATAAAATACACATAAACAAGCATGGTCAGCACCTCTCAAGAGTCCTCACTCATCCCTCTGCTCAGTCTCTCTCACTCTCTCTTTTCACTGTTCATCTCTGGTGCTGTGACCCACGCCCACGTACAATCTGAGATTGAGGCCTCATGACAAAGAGCCACCTGAAGCCAGCAAGCTCTGAGCATGACCATCCGAGGTACATGACACGGAAGTTAACCATGGAGCAAAACTCCTCCCACAATGTAGGCAGTCCGTCCATTGAAAAGACTCCTCATCTGAGGTAGGGATACTCGGTGGGCTCAGTCAATGCCTCAATGTCGATCACTGCTGGGGAGATATACCTCTTTGCCAAGCCGATCATATCAAGCCAACTCGTGCCATCTGTGAGGAGGGAAGGAACAGAGGCCTGGGATAGTCAGTATAAAG